CCGACCCCAGCTGGCGGAATTAGATCGCCACGTTTTCACTCTTCCGCAATAACAGACAGCCTGGAGGAAGTCAGTCACTTTAACCGCGCGACTTCATTTCTTACCTGGGTCACTGCAACAGTCCCCGCCTGGCCTCCCAGCTGCTGCTACTCCCTCCCGCTGCCCACCGGCCCACGGACAGACAGACAGCCCCACCGCGCGGCAGCCGGAGGGACCCTCCCCTAATGCCGATCAGAACCTAGCGCCCGGCCATCACATCACGACCTTCCCAGTGGACTGACTCCTGTCGCTTTCAAAATCGAGCCGAGGCTGCAGGCCCTGCCCTGCTCGCTAACGTTATCTTCGCCTCGCTCCCCTCCGGACACACGAATTTTCCTGCGGTCCTTAAAGCACTCAGGGCAACTGCGGTTGGTCCCATCTGCTTGGAACAATGTTGCCTCAGATCTTCAAAGGGCTTGGTTCTCACTTCCAAACTCTGATCTAACGTCACTTACCGACATCCTCACTCCGTCCTCTCTCCCCGATTTATTCTGCATCACGGCCATGACACGTTGTAAGACGTAACTGTTTACTGTCTGCCTTCCTCACCAGAATGTCAGCTCCCTGAAGGCGGACGCTTTGTCGTATTTCTACATCTCTAGTTCTGCACAGTGCCTGGCACGCAGTAGGAACTAAATCTATATCGATTAATCAATTCAAACTTTCAGCTAGTTTCCTTTCATCAGAGACAACGTGTCTGGAGCAAGCGTGAGCGCCCCGCACAGAGGCAGGAGCGTTGTCCCACCGCGCACTTACCCTAGGACCGGGCCGTGCGAGCTAGAACTTTAAAAACAAAAATTCACCGCTGAAATTAAAATAGATGATTTTCAAGGGAAAGCAAAATGATTACATAAAGCGATAGTAGTTAAAAACATGGAGCCGAAATCTACTGAGAATATAAAATAGGAAGATTTTAACACAGCATGAGAGGAAACTGATTTAAGAACAGTCTAACAGTGAAAGTTAGTGAAATACTGAAAACATGTTTTCCAGAGATTTAAAAGAAACTGGCAAACAAAATCTCAGCAGGGAAGTTATGCGACGGATAACCTCTTAAATCCTGTTTGATCTGCATGCTCTTTTCTACGTTACCGGGAAAAATTCAAAGGCCAAAACTGTATTTCAAAACATACTTACAAATGCTAGCAACATCGAAACAACGAAAACATTTTTCTGTTAAATATTATTTCTGAATTATAGAAAAATGAAACAAAACTTATGAG